CCTCTTGTGATCTCTTGACCCAGTTTTTCTCTCTACTGTGTCCTCTTTTTTTAAACTTATCCACCGTTGTCTTGATTGTTCTTGAATGAATCCTTTTCCTCTCACCATTGCTCATTTGAGAAAATAGTGGGGCTGATACAAAACGATTTTATCCCGTTCTTTTTCTAGCTGATTAACTCAAAGGATTTTTCAATGATTCATACGACAAATGGTGTCAAGATGGCTAAACGTCTTATCTGAAACCCTGCAATGAACGAAACAATTAGTTTAGCATTTTTTTTTTTTTTTTAGATATTAAACATTTTGTGGGCTGGATCATTATCCCATGGTATTACACGATTTGGACAATTTTGTTGTTACACCTAGTATATGTGTCTGTAGGCTAACCATTGACAATATGCCTACACATAGTATAAATGAGATTCTTGTAGATAAATATTTTGTTTAATAGAATTTGTGTAGAGCTATAGTCGTCTGCTGTAGAGTAATTGAATGTAACGTTGGCCCTTACCACTATTTCCCTGAATGAATTCGATCTACTCCTGTTCCTCTCGGGTACGTTTTTCTGATAAATGGAGCTTATTTAACAGTGTGGTTCCTCCTGTACAAGGCCCAAGAGCAACTCGAGGTAGAGTAACGTTCACAGTTTATGCGGATTGGTGATCGGGGAATCATCACCAGAGCAGTGGTTCGCGGGAAGAAGCTATTCGAGTGGAACATCCTTCTCACCATTGAAATGCGGAGGAAATATCAATGGTTTGCTACAATCTAAGTCGCATGGCTGGTCCTAGCCGTGAATGCTAGAATTAACAGAACTAAGGCATGTAGTTCGTCTGGAAGTAGCGATAAAGCAGTGAGATCTCTTCTAAGATTGATTGATTGACTGATTTTTTACGGCTTGTCAACCCTTTATTAGTTTATTTAAAATCAGAAAATATTTTTAGATAAAAAGAAATAGTTTTGTGATAATAGTGGTTCACTGATACAAGTCTTGCTAAATAACCCATAGCTGGGAGGGAAGAACAGATGGTTTCATAACTTTCTCAAAGGTAAATTGTGCGTAAGTGAATATAACGAACCCAACGGAAATTGGAACTCAGTTCTCTGATTAACAATTTCGAACCATTATACATTGTATTACCAAGTGGTCACCCACGTTGCTTAACTTCGTTGATCGTATGAGAACTGGTGTTTCAACGTAATTTGGCCGTACGTCAATATTTCTCGTTGAAATACGTTACAAAAATAAAAATATGTGTACTTTCCATATTATATAAAATATGTGTACATTACATATTACATAAAATATGTGTACTTTAAATATTACATAAAATATGTGTACATTACATATTATATAAAATATGTGTACTTAACCTATTACATAAAATATGTGTACATTACATATTACATAAAATATGTGTACATTACATATTATATAAAATACGTGTACTTTACATATTACATAAAATATGTGTACTTTACATATTACATAAAATATGTGTACATTACATATTACATAAAATATGTGTACTTTACATATTACATAAAATATGTGTACTTTACATATTACATAAAATATGTGTACATTTACATATTATATAAATTATGTGTAATTTACATATGACATAAAATATGTGTACATTACATATTACATCACCGGAGCCAAAGAGTGTGAGTTCAATACCCGGTTAAGGCAGTGGAGAACTTGGAGAGGGGAATTAACAGGCGATACCTGACAACTGACATCCATTAAACATGGCACGTGGAACTAGAACAGTCTACCTCAGTGAGCGAAATAAAGGGTTCAGTTCGACATTCTAACCACATGAAGAAAGCCGGAGCGTACCACGGCCGAAACGTTGTAATAAATATGGCGACAAAGATGAGGACAATAGTCCGAATAATGTAAATAATGTACATAATACCTCATCTCAGAAATATAGACAGATACTGAAAGGCCGAAACTTTGTAATAAATATGGCGACAAAGATGAGGACAATAGTCCGAATAATGTAGATAGTGTACATAATACCTCATCTCAGAAATATAGACAGATACTGAAAGGCCGAAACGTTGTAATAAATATGGCAATAAAGATGAGGGCAATAGTCCGAATAATGTAAATAGTGTACATAATACCTCATCTCAGAAATATAGACAGATACTGAAAGGCCGAAACGTTGTAATAAATATGGCGACAAAGATGAGGACAATAGTCCGAATAATTTAAATAGTGTACTTAATACCTCATCTCAGAAATATAGACAGATACTGAAAGGACGAAACGTTGTAATAAATATGGCGACAAAGATGAGGACAATAGTCCGAATAATTTAAAGAGTGTACATAATACCTCATCTCAGAAATATAGACAGATACTGAAAGGCCGAAACGTTGTAATAAATATGGCGACAAAGATGAGGACAATAGTCCAAATAATGTAAATAGTGTACATAATACCTCATCTCAGAAATATAGACAGATACTGAAAGACCGAAACGTTGTAATAAATATTGTGACAAAGATGAGGACAATAGTCCAAATAATGTAAATAGTGTACATAATACCTCATCTCAGAAATATAGACAGATACTGAAAGGACGAAACGTTGTAATAAATATGGCCACAAAGATGAGGACAATAGTCCGAATAATGTAAATAGTGTACATAATACCTCATCTCAGAAATATAGACAGATACTGAAAGACCGAAACGTTGTAATAAATATGGTGACAAAGATGAGGACAATAGTCCAAATAATGTAAATAGTGTACATAATACCTCATCTCAGAAATATAGACAGATACTGAAAGGACGAAACGTTGTAACAAATATGGCGACAAAGATGAGGACAATAGTCCGAATAATTTAAATAGTGTACATAATACCTCATCTCAGAAATATAGACAGATACTGAAAGACCGAAACGTTGTAATAAATATGGTGACAAAGATGAGGACAATAGTCCAAATAATGTAAATAGTGTACATAATACCTCATCTCAGAAATATAGACAGATACTGAAAGGACGAAACGTTGTAATAAATATGGCGACAAAGATGAGGACAATAGTCCGAATAATGTAAATAGTGTACATAATACCTCATCTCAGAAATATAGACAGATACTGAAAGGCCGAAACGTTGTAATAAATATGGCGACAAAGATGAGGACAATAGTCCGAATAATTTAAATAGTGTACATAATACCTCATCTCAGAAATATAGACAGATACTGAAAGGCCGAAACGTTGTAATAAATATGGCGACAAAGATGAGGACAATAGTCCGAATAATTTAAATAGTGTACTTAATACCTCATCTCAGAAATATAGACAGATACTGAAAGGACGAAACGTTGTAATAAATATGGCGACAAAGATGAGGACAATAGTCCGAATAATTTAAATAGTGTACATAATACCTCATCTCAGAAATATAGACAGATACTGAAAGGCCGAAACGTTGTAATAAATATGGCGACAAAGATGAGGACAATAGTCCGAATAATTTAAATAGTGTACATAATACCTTATCTCAGAAATATAGACAGATACTGAAAGGCCGAAACGTTGTAATAAATATGGCGACAAAGATGAGGACAATAGTCCGAATAATTTAAATAGTGTACATAATACCTCATCTCAGAAATATAGACAGATACTGAAAGGCCGAAACGTTGTAATAAATATGGCGACAAAGATGAGGACAATAGTCCGAATAATTTAAATAGTGTACATAATACCTTATCTCAGAAATATAGACAGATACTGAAAGGCCGAAACGTTGTAATAAATATGGCGACAAAGATGAGGACTATAGTCCGAATAATTTAAATAGTGTACATAATACCTCATCTCAGAAATTCTTGATATACACACAAGTGTGTAACTTTCGAAAATGCTTGCTTTCTCGTGTGGATCGATTCGGCTAGAAGCGAAACCGGGTGCTGAAAATTTGTCGGCCTGTCCGAAAAATGATTCCTAAAAAGAAAATTCTGATAATATTTTGACATTTGGTCAGATTTTAAAAAGTGGGTCGGCCTCAGAAGTTTTCAGCATTGCTTCGTCGATATTTACTTTTCAAATTCCTCGCAAATTAGGGTAACAACTCAAATATGTTTACCAGTAATGGAATCAATACATCAAACTGTCAATCACGATAAATTAAGATAACAGAAGTGGCAACAATCTATCTATCTATCTATCTATCTATCTATCTATCTATCTATCTATCTATCTATCTATCTCAGTCTTTTCCTTATCTATCTATCTATCTATCTATCTATCTATCTATCTATCTATATATATATATATATATATATATATATATATATATATATATATTCCAGGCTTTTCGTTATCTATTTATTTCAGCATTTTCGTTATCTATCTATCTATCTATCTATCTATCTATCTATCTATCTATCTCAGTCTTTTCTTTATCTATATATCTATTTCAGGCTTTTCATTATCTATCAATATATGGTATTTTCATTTTCTATCTATCTATCTATCTATCTATCTATCTATCTATCTATCTATCTATCTATCTATCTATCTCAGTCTTTTCCTTATCTATATATCTATTCCAGTCGTTTTATCATCTATTTCAGAATTTTATTTTATATCTATCTATCTATCTATCTATCTATCTATCTATCTATCTATCTATCTATCTATCTATCTATCTCAGAATTTTCATTATCTATCTATCTATCTCAGCATATAAATAAATATAAATAAATATATATATATATATATATGTGTGTGTGTGTGTGTGTATACAGACATTTTGTTGTGTATTTATTGGTAAAAAAATAAAAAATAAAACCTAAGATCACAGACATTTTACATAAATAAGGCTGTTCGTAATGTGTGATCTCTATATGTGAATACAATTTTTGTATTTATTTAAGGCATGGTCTCCTCGGAATCCATTCTGTAATCTATCCGACCCTTTTCCAATCAACCCAAGAACTCTAACTAGAATCCTCCCCCC